ACTATTTATTGGAGCCTGAAATGCATTCTTCATCTCTTGGGCCTTCGGCTGCTGGACTACACAAGACGGGCGAAGCCCCGGTCCTTTCCAAGTTTAAGGTTGTGGATAATAATGTGTAAGAATGAAATGACATATGAAGTCCTGTTCGTGGCTAGATCAAGGTAAACACTTGGTGCTTCGATGTTGCTCTTCTAGTTGTTTTTATTGTAATTATTATTACTTTATTATCCCAGAGCAGGGAATGAATCCTCTGGGGAAAGGTGGGGTTTGGGTTAGTCCGTGAATGTCTGTCCTATAGCCGTGATGGTCTGGACAGGCACTTGGAGCTCAATTTCCATCAGAAAGCAGAGGCAGTGGAGTTAGAGGGTTAAAGCTTTTAATATTTTGGCCAGGAAGCTGAGGGATGTTACTGGGTCAGAAAATTAGGTCAGGAGTGGAGGTGCCTGGGTATGTTTAAGATCTCTCTTTAAATATGAAGGTCTGGCATTCATTTTGCTGTTCGGTGGAGTTCCAGGCACTGTGCTAGGCTTGTTGGGAATTCAGAGCTGCTACCCTCAGGGAGCTTATGATCTCATGGGAGTGAGAAGCCACAGGACAAGAAACTATGACACAGAGTAGAACAAGGTGAATTTATTTTTCTGTTGGTTGCAAATGACAGACATCCAGTCTGAATCAGCATAAGTAAGGAGGATAATTTATTGGTTCTCATGTCTGATGAGTCTGGGAATAAATGGCTTCAGGAATGGCTGGATCCAGGTGTTCAAATGATATCATCAGAAATCTCTCTCTCCATCTTTTGCTTCTGCTTTCCCCTGTGTTGGCCTTCTTAGGCAGTCTCCCCATCTGTGATGCCAAATACCACCAGCTTAGTAGTCTTAGCTAACAGGGAGGTCTCTTCCTCAGTTATTCCAGCATAAAGTACTGGAATTGAGTCCCAGTGGTCCAAACTGGGGTCATGAGACCCCACCTTGAGCTATGGATGGTAGTCTGCCTGGACACTCACACCAGCTGAGACTGGGGGAGGGGTTCACCTGAGGAAACATCTGAGCAAGGGGAGAGGGTGCTGGGAAGCAGGTACTGCCCTGCCCACCACGGGGCTCCCAGAAAGGCAGAGGCTCTCAGAGGAGATCAGGGGTCATTTCAGCCAGGGAGTCAGGACAGCTTCACGAAAGAGGTGGCCTTTGGCCAACTGGGACCCCAGGAGAGAGCTGGGGTCCTCCTACAGAAGGTTCCTGGGAAGAAGGAAGGAGGAAAAAGGTATTTCCTGAGAAGCCTTCATGCTCCAGGCTCTGTGAGCAGACAAGAACCCTGTCTGCTCATGCTGATGGGAAACGGAGTCTCAGAAAGCTTAGCCACTCCTCACCAACCTGCAGCCAGCCACCAGGGCTCTCACCCGACTCCAGTCCATCACTGAGCAGCTGGGGCGCTCTTTTCAGACCTCAGAGTGGACGGCATCCCACGTCATCAACTCCACAGCTCTAGCTGTCTTGGGATTGAAACCCAAATCCTTAACGTGGCCCCTGAGGCCCCACGTGGTCCGGCTCTACTCACCTCCCCAGGCTTCCTCCCCCTCAGCCTCTGCTCCTGCCCCCCTACTCCTCTTCTGTCCTTAACTCAGCTTCTCCAAGGACCCTGGGGCTTGGTGGGGCTCCCCTTTGTTACAACAGTAGCTGACACTTAAGTGCCAGGCCTTTGTCCGCACTCTACATGTTTTTATTCAATCAGTCTTCACAGCAACCCTATGAGGTGGAGGCCATTGTTCCCCCATTTTACGAGACGGGGAAACTGAGGTCCTAAGAAAGTGATTTGCTCAAAGTCACGCAGCTGGAAAGTGGAAAAGCTCAGAGTCAAAGCCAGACGTTTGGCTCCAGAGTCCTCATTCTTAACCACCACCCTCTTCCACCTCTGAGATCTCAGGGTCCCAATCCTTCCTATCACACTTGGTAACTATGCATTTTTGATGGGTTATTTGATGGACATCTGTCTCAGCGCCAACAGCTAGTGACAGTGGAGTAATCCACTGAGCACATAGTCTGCTAGGCGCTGTGCTTAGCACTTTTTATGCCTCACCTAATTTCGGCCTGTCAGCAATCTTATAAAAATTTTATCTAGGTATCCCCATTTTGCCCTGGAGAATCTGAAGAGTTGAGAGTGTAAGTAACTTGTCTGATAAGCTGGAAATTCCCAGAAGGAAGAAACTTTGTCCATTTTGCTCACCGTTGAGGCCAGAGGGGCTAATTCAGTGCCTGGCATACAGTCGGCACTCAGTAAATGCTTTGGGGTTGGTTGTATGGAAGGATGGATGATAGATGGCAGGAAGGAAGGGACGGGTAGAGAGAGGGCCGGTCTGCCCATCTTCTGTGCCCATGCTCTGGCCATGGCTGGGACATCCTCGGACACGAGGCTGATGTCGGATCTGATGGTGCTCTCCGGGGTCTCTCTGCAGGAGCCACAATGCACGTGAAGAAGTACCTGCTGAAGTGCCTGCACCGGCTGCAGAAGGGCCCCGGCTACACGTACAAGGAGCTGTTGGTGTGGTACTGTGACAACACCAACACCCATGGCCCCAAGCGCATCATCTGCGAGGGGCCCAAGAAGAAGGCCATGTGGTTCGTGATCACCCTGCTCTTTGCCGCCATCGTCTGTTGGCAGTGGGGCGTCTTCATCAGGACCTACCTGAGCTGGGAGGTCAGCGTCTCCCTCTCCATCGGCTTCAAGACTATGGACTTCCCCGCTGTCACCATCTGCAACGCCAGCCCCTTCCGGTAGGTGGTCCCTGGAGCAGGGCCGGTCTCAGCAGGGCTGCTTTGCTTTGCTTTTTGCTTTACCCCTCTTCCTTCCATCTTCCCTTCCTTCCTTCCTTTTCCCCCCATTTCTCTCTCTCTCTTTCTCTCTGTCTTCTTCTTTGCTTTTATACCTTTGCAGCAAGTCAAATTCAAAATTTGTAACCCTCCTAGGTTTACAGAGAACCTCAAAAAATATCTGGTAGTCCCTGCCTTCCGGCCCATCAGTGCCTATTTATTGATTCAGTGTGTATTTACTGAGCATCTCCTATTGCCAGGCGCTGTTCTAGGCACAGGGATACGTCAGTGACTAAAACAAGGGCCCTTGTCACAGCCTACCAGAGAAAACAGACACTAATCTTTTCCCCATAGGTACTGAATTCATTATAATTGCGGGGATTAAAAATATATATATATATAGAGAGAGAGAGAACAACCCTATGTCGAGTGCTTATGAAGTTCCAGGCAGTGCATTGAGTGTTCCTTGGGCAGTTCGTGTAATTCTAATCCACACAACACCCTAGGAGTGGGCGGCACTGTGGTAGTTCACATGTCAGGAAATGGAAATTCAGAGAGGTGAGGGAACTTGCCCAGAGACACACAGTGAGCAACTGTGGGGTTTGAACCCAGGCCTGATCTGACCCCAGATCAGCTGTGTAACCACTTGATGGCAAGGCCTGTGAAGGGGACACCCAAGGGGGCCCAAACTAGTCAGGGCTGAGGAGAGGCAGAAGGTCAGTCAGAGAAAAGTGCCCCAAGAAATTAGTAGAAGTTAGCCAGACAGAGAGAAGAGAACGCCCAGGGGGAGGACACAGCGCGTGCCAAAGCCCTGGGGCGAGACGGAGCCTAGTGCCTGAACTGAAAGAAGAGTCAGCATGTCTGAGTCACAGGGAACACAGGGACCTTCTAGCCTAAAGAAGGTCCTAGACGCTAATTCACACTTCCTGCTGACATTTCCAGCCATCAGAAAGTCGCTTCTTTCTAGTAATAGGGCTCCTCCTTGCTTGGGTGGGTCCTTGAAACTACTCCAGAAAACTCTTGATGATTATCTTAACAACACACTCTGCCCAAGCCTGTGTTCCAAGTGCTTTATAAGCATCATCTCATCGAATCCTTCCAAAAGCCTTCTGTGGTAAATATTTTATTCCCCCCCATTTTTAGATGAGAGAACAGAGCCTCAGAGAGGTTCACTTGCCCAAGGTCACATAGATATTAAGTGACATGTCAGAATTCAAACCCAGAGCCCATGAATTCAAACCCAGAACTTCCCGAGCTCCTCAGCAACTGTGGCCGTCTCGGCTGTCATGGCAGCCCCCACCCCGCAGCCCACCACCTTTCCCCATCCTCCTCTCCCTGTGTGCACGTGGGTAGCTGATGTGATGGTCAGGGGACAGCCGGTGTCAGCACCTGAGGCCCGTGTCAGCTCTGGGTGCTGTACACCTTTGTACCAGGACCAGAGTTTAAGTGCCCTCTCCTGCAGGAAGTCCTCCAGCCAGAGCTGACATACACGCCCTGGAGACCACACTTTGGGGCAGGGTCTTGAGTAAATCGGGTGTGGGGTGACTGGGGTGCAAGGCCAGGGGCCCCCACCCAGGGCCTGGTGGGGCCACATTTCTACCAGACTGACTGGTCACTTTTTCCGATATGGGAGCCTCAGGGGCTGGGACAAGATACTGGAGCACAACCCCGCAGTCCCGTCCACCTTGTCCCTCCTGAAACTGGCTTCTGTCCTCCAAATCGCTGCTGGAGAATTAGGATCTTAGGATCACAGACATGCCCCTCCCCTCTACATTTTCCATCCCTCCTGGGAGGGAGACGTCAGGGCCCTGGGCACACAAAACACACCTACTGGAGCCCACCAAACCCAGGTTCCAATCTCCGCTCTGCCCCTCGTCAGTGGGGTGAGCTCGGGAAATCACAGCCACTCCCAGAGTTTCTTTATCGATGTGTGGGATGATCACAGAACTGTGGCAAAGATTAAATAAAATGAGACGTAGGGAGCACCTAGCCCCTGGCACACGGCAAGTGATCTAGAACCATGAGCTCTTAAGATCCCTTCTCACTGGAATGTAAGTTTCATAAGGAAAGAGACCTGGTCCGTCGTGTTTGCTGTAACATCCCATGTACCTTGCACAGGACCTGGCACATAGTAGGTGCTCACCAAATACTTGATGAATGACTGAGTGGGTGAGTGGGTGGAAGGGTGCATGGATGAATGGGTGGGTGGGTAGAGAGGTGGGTGCTGGGGGCGGGGACATTCTTCTCACATGTGGTGGCAGAGCTGGAGCAGGAGGGGATCCCAGACTGCAGTCGCTCTGCTTTGAAGCTGCCCCCCTGCCTGGGTCTCTCCCTCCATCCAGGTATTCCAAAGTCAAGCATTTGCTGAAGGACCTGGACGAACTGATGGAGGCAGTCCTGGAGAGGATCCTGGCTCCCGAACTCAGCCATATCAATGCCACCAGGGCCCTGAACTTCACCATCTGGAACCACACGCCTCTGGTCTTTATCGATGAGCAGAACCCCCACCAACCAGTAGTCCTTGACCTCTTTGGGGACAACCACAATGACTCAGCAAGCAGCAGCCTAGCACCTGGAAGGAGCTGCAGTGCCCACGCGTGCAAAGTGGCCATGAGACTAGTAAGTGGGCCCTGGGCACAGGTCGAGCAAAGGGCCCTGTCCAGTAATACTGATGGGAATTTCTTTCCTTAAATAATCTGGGTCTTGCTGAGGGAAAGACTGCTGGAGCCACTGCCTATTTTGTATGTTTGCAGAGCTTTTTAAAAAATAGAAGTAGCTGGTATGTTATTCAGGACACTTTTGGATGCTAGTGACCCAGCTCGAACTAGCTTAAGCAAAACAGGGAATTCTTTAGTTCACATACTGAAAAGTCCAGGGGTGGATTGGGTTCAGGTGTGGCTGGATCCAGGTGATCAAATGCTGTCATCAGGACTCCATTTCTCCCCACCTTGGTTCAGCTTTTCTCTCAGTTGACTTCACTCTCTGGCAGGCTCTCTCCACGCGGAGGGTCCTGGAAATACCAGATTTATATTCCTACCAGCTTAGCACTCTCCCAGAAACAGAATTTTTTTTTTTTTTACCCTAGTGGTCCCAGCAAAAGTCCTGGGACTGATCATCAGATTGCATGTCCTAAACCAATCACTGTGGACTAGAGGATGGGCTCTCATGATTGGCTGGCCCTGGATCATGTGTCCTGGAGCTGGGGGTGATGTCAGCCTCTAGGAGACCACACGGACTGAGCAAGGGTTGGGGAAGGCATGGCCCCCTGAAAGGCAAATTAACTCTTATCAAAAGACAGGGGCATAAATATTGAACAGGTGAAAAACCACAGCCATGCAGTACAGTCATTAAATCAAAACTGGAATGCTGGGGTGCCCCCAAGCCTGCAAATGGGAAGAGGGGTCCCTGTCTGTATCTGTGGATCCCTTGCGGAGCTCTGTGACTGTACAGATCCCGGGGCCCCACTCCTGGGGAAGCTGAATGGGCAGCTCTGGGCCCAGGCCCAGGCATCTGTGTTGTTAATAGGCTCCCTGGTGATTCTGATAATCAGCCTTGGCTGGGGACCCAGGCTGGGGCTGTACAAACCCCCCGGAAGGTGGCCACTGCCTCCCATGGCCCCAGCGTGGTCAGGACTTCCACAGCCCCAAACCCCCACCTTTCCACACAAACTAGCACAAAGCACAAGACTGCAGAGGCCCCTTGCCAGCTCTGACCCAACGCCCCACTGCTTTGGGGGACAGTTACCTGGCTGCCGGTGTCTGTCTCCTCATCTATAAAGCAGGCCGCTCCTTGTGGCTGCCCCAGCTTTCAGGGTCAGGCCGATGCTGCGTGGGTGTGACGTGGGCTGGGCGTCTGCTCCCGTCACCCCCATGTAACCTTCCTGGGCCTCAGTGTCTTCACGATGATGGACTGGGGTTGGTGTGAGAACTGAATGGCATAATAGACCTGAAGTCCTAAGAACAGACTGAGCCTTAAATATTATCCTCACCTCCCTCGGAGGGGACGAGGACCTCCGGAACGGGCCCGAGGACAGTGCCCTGAGCTGGCCCATGAGGGCTGGCTCAGAACTGAGAAGCTTCTCCCTCAGGCCTCCTGGGCTCCCACGATGAGCGCCGATAGAGGCGGCGTGGCCGAGGCTGGAGTCCCGGGGTCTAGTTTGTTCATGGTGGACTGGCTGTGGCGAGGTGGCAGCTCAGGCTGCCGAGGCTTGGTTCTTCCCCAGCCAAGGGGGAAGTAGAACCTCGAGTCTTGAGTCCGCCATGGTCCACACGGCCTCCAGGGAGCTGCCTCTGGAAGTCTCAGGATGGGGCTGAGAAAGGAGTCGGGGGCATGGAGGCTCCGAGTGTGTCTGCTGTCCACGTGAGCGTGAACGTGGAGCCACTTGTGTGAATCTAGGTATAGGGATACACATGTGTGCCTGGTGGTGACCGCATGACATCGTATGGCTTCGGATGTCAGAAAGTCGGGTCTGTCTTGTGCACGTGTGTGCAGGTGTGTATTTGCTCGTGCCTGAGGCTGTATGTGGGGGTGGCTGGCGCGGTGTGTGTGAGTCCTTGTGACCGCGCAGCCGTGTGACCCTGAGTGCAAACACATTCCCCTGTGGCCCAGCTGCTGGCGGCCCCAGCCCCCCAGTATGGCCAGGGGAGGGGCAGCTGGCAGCCCCGAGCCCACGGGAACCCCTCTTGGTCCCCACAGTGCAGCCGCGGTGGGACCTTGTGCACCTTCCGGAACTTCAGCAGCGCCACCCAGGCCGTGACAGAGTGGTACACCCTGCAGGCCACCAACATCTTCTCGCAGGTTCCGAGACGGGAGCTGGTGACGATGGGCTACTCGGGCGAGCAGCTGATCCTGGCCTGCCTGTTCGGGGCGGAGCCCTGTAGCTACAGGTGAGAGCCGCGCAGCGTCCCGCACCCCCGCCAGCCAGCGTCCACAGCCCGGCTCGGCCGCGCAGTCTGCACCACGATTTTCTGTGCCTCGGTGTCTTGGGTCAGATTTCCTAGAGGCAGAGCCTGAGACAGGAATGCGTGGAAGGCCCCATCAGTTATGAGGGACTCGCTTCAGGAAAGTTCTGTAAGGAGAGCAAGACAAGGAAAGAAGGAGGGGCTGAGGGATGTGGTCACAGGTGATGTCTAGGCCTCACCTGATCCGCCGAGAGGTCCAGACCATAACTGGCACCACAAAACTGTCCCCGCTTAAGCTGGGGGCTGGCCCCTTGTGCGTGTCCCCACCAGTCACTCTGGCTGTGTGCCATTCCCAGGAGGATGGGGTGGGGTCTCCTGACTTCCCAGGCAAGGTGGGCAGGAGAAGGGGTGGCTGTGAGCCGTTAGCCTCCAACCCCCAGCAGCTGGGGATCTGGGCGGGCACCCCTGGATCTACTGCCCTCAGTGTTCTCATCCCCAAAACAGGGGCAATAACTGTGCCCACCTCCTAGGCTCCCCGTGAAGAGTAAATGAGCTGGCTCATGTCAGCACTTAGATTGGGGCTCTGGGGGTGTCCACGTCAATGCTCCTTTCCCCAGACAATCCCCAGTGTTGAGAGAATGGCAGAATGTTGAGGTCCTCTAACAAATGGTCCACGGATCTCCACCTCCTTCCCTCCCCAGCTTCTGACCATCCAAAACCTGGGCCTGAGAGCCAAGCTCTGTCCCCAGCTCTGGGGCAGCCAGCTGGGCACAGGCGGAGCTGAGGAGGCCCCAGGGTCCCCCCCCTGGCCTCGTGGCCAGGCCTCCAGGTGTTGGGGGCACAGCACCTGGGCCCCGGCCAGTCCCGTTTCCCAGAGGTGCTGGTGTCCTCGTCTGGGCCTTCAAATTCCCACACTTCAGGCCTCTGGACAAAGGGACTTTTTGCTGAGTCTTGCTGCTTTGGGTGAGTGACAGGTTACTAGTTTCACCTTCCCTGGGACTGTGGTTTCAGCCCAACTCAGGCAACTCAGGAACCTTTGTGAACCTCTGTTGAGAATCTCCTGACAGTTACAGACCCTCTGTCCCCCAGAATGCACAGGTACTCGTGGACGGGCACGTCGTAGGCAGTGTCAAGGTATCAAGGCCCACTGAGTAGGCAGAGCTGTACTCCTACAGGCGGAAGAGCTACCAGATGGTGTCCCCACTAACGGCACACGTCCTGCCTGGTGGGTGGCCGCCTGGCTGGCTGCAGGCTGGATTGCAACCCCTGTCTCTGGGTCAGGGGACTTGGTTCAGAGCACATTTGCCCAAACATTCCCAGCAGCTCTGCCTTTGGGTACCCAGTGGACTGGTGCCATGGCCGTAAGTTCATCTTTACTCTCTCAGCTGAAAGAGACAGATGTAATACTGTAATTTCAAATAGATGGCCCGTCTGCTCGGTCAGAATACGCCCTGAAGTGAGAGTCAGGTGGGAAAGTGGGCTGGGCTAGGATCTGCCGTGATCTGCTGTCAGGTCCCTGGTGCCTAACGTGTGAGCTTTTCCCATTGGCTCCCAGGGCTCCAAGCCATGCATCCTGCACACAGCCCGGTCCCTAAACTGCGCCGCCCGCTTCCTGGGCATCAGATCCAGGTCCCGAGGCCACCAGGCTGGGCTGGACCTACTGGAGATGGCCTGCTTGTTGCCAGGATGGTGCCCTCCAAAGCGAGTCGCATCTGGGTCACATGGATGGAGGGTGGTCCCCAAAGAGAAGATGGCTGATGGGCAGGCAGAAAACCTGGTGTTGGCCACACAACTTCTGGGGCATGGCCATGGCTGAGGAGTAAGTCTAGCGAAGGGGTCAATGCCGGACCCTGCAGTTAGACCTCCGGGTTCAAATCCTTGCTCTGTCTTACAAGCTATGTGATCTTGGACAAGCGTCCTAACCTTGATACACCTCCATTTTCCTTCTCCATAAAATAGGTGATAACAGTGCCTAGTCTACAGGGTTATTTTGAATATGAAATGTGTTGATATGCGTGACAGGCTGAAAATACTGATGGACGCAACATTGCTCTCATTAAACCCTCATTTGACAGGGAACTCATTCTTCAATAATAGTGCTAACATTTACTGAGCCCTTCTGATGGGCCAGGCACTATTCTTAGCACTTTGCATGTATGAAACCAGTTTAACCCTGCCACAAGCCCATGAGAAAGGTACTATTATTTCCCCTCATTTTATATGACGCAATCATGGCCCAGGGAGGTTAAGCAACGTCTCTGAGGTCACACAGCTGGTGAGTGGCAGAGGTGGCAGCCTGGGCCAGGCCCGCTTGCATCAGTCCACCACCTCATCAGAAACTGAGATCATCACCTTCCTTCCCCACCCACCCCTCCCAAGCCTATTCCTCCAGCCCTCGGCAGTCTGAGTGGAAGGTGGTGGCACAGAACCCCTAGTCCTCCTGTCTCACTCCCACAGCCGACTGGTTACACGCCTCCCTGAATCAGCCTGAGACTCAGTGCCGGGGGACACGTGCCTCTCTTTGCCTTCCTGGGGCCGGGCTCTAGACACTCTGGCCACCTCACTCTGTTTCTGACTTCATCCTCTCCCCCTCGGATGTAGCAAATGCTCAAGACGCAGCAGCTGCAGTTTTAGGAAAATGTGCACCACATTTGGACCCTGACACTAGACCGTCTGGATTTGAATGACAGCCCTGTGTGTTGCCAGGCACGCTACTTAGCCTCTCTGTGCCTCTGTTTTCTCATCTGGAAAACAGGGATAGTGAAATGACCCCATAGGGCTCTCCTGGGGATTAAATGAGTTAACACAGATGAAGTGCTTAGAACAGTGCTAAGCAAGTGGTCAGAATTATAGGAGCATTTTAAAAATACTTTTTATTGTGTAATGATTTTAGATTTATAGAAAAGTGCAAAGGTAGGACACAGAGTTCCCTGTACCCCTCATCCAGCTCCTCGTAACATTAACCTCTTCCGTCACTACCGTGATTTGTCAGAACTAAGACACCTGCATGGGCACATCACTATTACATAAACTTAAGAACTGATTTTGTCAGCTTTCTCGGTGACCTTCTCTGGTTCAGGATCCCATGCGAGAGACCACACTGCTGTCAGTCTTAAGTCCCCTCTGGCTGGGACACTTTCTCACACTTCCTTGTTCTGGGTGACTGTGACCATTTCAGAGCACTGGTCGGGTGTTTTATAAAGTCCTTGACCTGGGTTTATACAGATAAGATGGATTTGGGGGAAGAATGCCACCCAGGTGAGGTGCCCTCTCTGTCACATCGTATCGGGGTAAGTGTTAGCCCCACGACACCACCCATGATGTTGACCTTTCTCACTTGGTTAATGTGTTCTGTTTCGGGCTTCTCCGCTGCAAGCTAGCCACTTCCCCTCCTGTGCTCTTGTGTTGTGAAAGGGTCTCCAAGTTCAGCCCACACTCAGAGGGTGGGAGTCGGGGTGGCGGTGGCGGCCGGAGGAGAGGGGGACTAAACTCCACCTCTCTGGAGAGGGGAACATACACTATTTGCAATTCTTCTGTAGGGAGATTGGCCTCTTCTCCATTTGCTTATTTAGTCCATCATTTATTTAGACCGGTATGGACTTGTGTATATTTGGGTTGTAATCCAATACCACACTATTTATTTTCTTACTCAAATTCTTCCAGCTTTGGCCACTGAGAGCTCCTTCAGTTGGCTCCTGTGTCCCTTTGGCATGTCCCCATCCATTTTTTTTTAAGTACTTCCTTACTTTCTGGCACTACCAGATACCCCAGTCTTAGAGTCTGCCATTTGTCTGAGGAGCCCCAGTTCCTTTCATGGGAGAATGGTATTTAGAAACCAAGATCTAGGCATATGTAAGTATTATTATTATTAGTAGTAGTAGTAGTAGTAGTAGTAGTATCATTATTATTATTATTATTATTACTATCATCATCATCATCATCATCACTTCAGGATCAGGTAGCTAGTTTCTGCCCTGGGAAGCCTTTCCTGACCCCTACTACACAGTACTGCTCTTCTTATACTGCTTCCTGCTAGGATGCTCTGTTTCCCAGTCTTTTCCAGAGGCTTGCTGGTCTCTGTCTACAAGCCTAGCCCCTGTCCCAGGAAAGGTTTTTGGGAAGGGAAACGCCTAGTTCTGGAGCCAGAGGTGGCTGGGGCTGGGAGCAGCCTCTCCAGGTTAAGAACATTATCAGCAAGCACATAGTTGGCAAGACTAAGAGTGCAGCCCAGGACAGGAGGGGACCTGGTCACGCCCAGAGCTGCCTCCTACTCCTGAGCTATAGATGTCCCAGACGGTTCCTCCTTGGGAACACCACGTTCCCGCGCCCCTGGGGCGGGGTCTCTCCTCCCAGAGCAGTGCCCGGCTTCAGCCGGTTTGCCCTGCTCTGTTCCTTCCCTGTGGGCCTCAGCCCAGATCCCACAGCCCATGCAGAGGCTCTGTAGCGTGGGCCCAAAGCGATTTCTTTCATCTGGGCCTGGATCTGTGCCCCCTCTGCCTGGGGTGCCCTTTCTCCTCTCCACCCGTGAGACTACCTGTTATTCATCGTTAAAGTCTCAGCTCAGACCTCACCTCGTCCGAGAGCCCTGCCCTGACCCACTCCCCACCCCACCCCCACTCCTCCAGCCTTATCTCCGTCGATAGCCTTATCACGGCTTATAATTTATCCCACAAATATTTACTGAGTCTACTGAATGCCAGGTTCTGAGCTCAGAGGGGTGAGTTTGTTCAGTATTTCAATGTGCTTGGCTTCCAATCCTCACCTCGGTCCTTTTGGGTGGGTGCTGTTGTGGCCCTGGTGTTACAGGTGGGGAAACAAGGCACAGAGAGGTGCAGTAACTTCCCCAAGCTCACCAGCTAGTAAACGACAGAGCTGGAGTTCAAATTCAGACAGGCTGGCTCCCGGGGTCTGAGCTCTTAGCCTCTAAATTCTTTCTCCCTGCAGATAGACAGCTGCCCTCACTGTGACTGTGTCTAAAACAGGAGGCAGCTGATAAGCAAGCAATTAAATGAAGAAGATGTTTTCGGCTTTTGACACATGCCTTCAAGGGAGTAAGCAGGTGGAAATGAACAAGCCACTGGGTAGTAACTTCGCACAGGGAGGTCAGGGGAGGTCTCAGAGCAGGATGAGGAGAAATCGGTACTTTGAAAGAGATGCTCAGAGAATATTCCAGGCACAAGGAGCAGTGCCCTTGAACTTGGAAACATCTTGGAGTGCCTCTGGAGTATAATGAACAGCAGGGAGAAAGCCAAGTAGGGTGTCTGTATTTTATTTTATTTTCTGAATGGGGATACTGGGGGTTGAACCCAGGACCTCGTGCATGATAAACATAAGCTCTACCACTGAGATATACCCACCCACTGCGTTTTATTCTGTGGCAGCAAGGAGCTTCTGGAAGGTTCTAGCAGGGGGATGCCGTGGGCTGTTTAAAACAATCGTCCTGACGCTGTGCAGGAGGAAAACTGTAAGGGAGCAAGAGTGAAAGCTCTTGCTTTGTGTAAGGGAGCAGAGGCTCCTGCAGGAATCCAGGTAGGAGCTGCTGGTGGCCTGGACGGGGTGGGAGCCTTAGAGATGGATGGAGGTGGGCAGGCCGGAGACCGTGTCGGAAGGAGAGAGTCGCCGTGATGCCCTGCAGGTCCTCCTCGATGCCATGAGCTTCCAGGGCAGGACTGTCTTGTCTGTCTCAGTGTCGCCAGCCCGGTGCCCGCCTCAATAAATGTTTGTTGGGTGAAGAAAGGCGGTTTCGTCCTGATTTCCCTTTCACTGTTGAGGACACCAAAGCTCAAAGGTTGAGTAAGTAGCTCACATGTGTCGGGCGGGCAGGGTCAGCTCCCAGATCAGATTTCACTGCCTGCCTGGGACCCACCTTGTTCTGCTGGCGCAGAGGGTGAGACAAAAGATCGAGGAAATGGCTTCCTAATCGGAACATCAGGACAAGTAGCAGCTGACCTCCTGGGGTTATTCTGAGGATTAAAGAGGCGAACGTGCACGAAATCGAGCAGTAAATCTTACAGGAGGGAAGACTTAGAAAGGACAACATTTCCACTGATGTTTCTGCATTTCCGTTGGTGCCCTGAGTCCCATTCCTTCCTGTTTTTAATAAAATAAGAAGATATTTTTTTCAACATTTTTTCAGGGGAGGTAATTAGGTTTGTTTACTTTAATGGAGGTACTGGGGATTGAACCTAGGACCTCGTGCATGCTAGGCAGGCACCCTGGCACTGAGCTCATACCCTCCCTGCAAGAAGACATTTTCAAAGCTATTTCTAATGAAGACTTGAGAACATACACACAGATAGAATAGGGTAGAATGAACTCACATTGACCTGCCACTCAGATCCACTAAGCCTGGTGCACAGCCTGTCCTGTGTTGTTTATGCTACAGCAAATCCCAGACATCATAGTATTTGATCTGTTCGGTGTTCAGAATGTATCTATGAACAAGAGAGACTTTTCCCTGAACAGAACTGCAATACCATTATCCTACTTGGGAAAGAAAATGGACAGTGATTTCTCAATCCCATCAACTATCAGTCAGTGTCAGGCTTGTGTGTGTGTGTGTGTGTGTGTGTTTGTGCTGTATTACAGCTTTTTTTAAAATTGAAGGACATGTCATATTTTTTTGTTTGCTTGTTTGAATCAGGATCCGTTGTAACTGTAACCACATGTTTGAAGTTTCTTTCAATCTGTAGGTTGCCTCCCTTCCCCTCTCACCATTTATCCATTGAGGAAACTGGGTTATGTATCCTGTGGAGTCTGGGTTTTCCAGGCTGACTTTCTGTGGTGCTTTTGACCTTGTTCCTCTGTCTCTAGTATTTGCTGTAAACGGCAGAGACAGGTGCTCGAGCCTGTTCAAGGCTGGGGTTTGTTGTTGTTGTTTTGTTTGTTTGTGGGTAAGGTCACTTCCCAGGCAGGCTGTCCATCAGGACACACCTGGCATTGGTCACCACTGGTGCACGTTGTCCAAAACCATTTATTCATTGAGAGTGCAAAGTGCAACCCTCAGTTGTGTCTGTCCCTCTTCAGTTATTAGCCAGATGAAACCAGAACATTTTGCAAAAAAAAAAAAAAAAAGTCAGGTGAAGGGAGCCATAGATTAAAAGAGATTTAAAAGGCATATCTAAGCAATTACGTGACAATGACATTTGATCCCAATTTAAACAAATAAATTGTAAAACCAAAATTGACCTTTATGAGATAATATAAGCTGAATATTAAGAATTTTTATAGTTATTTTTAATATAGTAATAGTTTTTTTGAGAGTTCTTTTAGAGATACATATAGAAATGTTTACAAATAAGATTATGATATCTGAGATTCGATTCAAAGTAGCACAGGAGGGAGAGTGGGAGGTGGGTCGAGATGACATATGACTGGCCGCAGGGTGACGATTGTTGAAGCTGCTGGTGGGCTTCATTCTCTCGACTTTTTATGTTTGTGAAGTTCCATATTAACTGAATTTTTTAACACCTTTATTGTGGTGTGACTGCTGTACAGTAAACTATACATATTTCAGATGTACAATTTGATGAATTTTGATAGATGTATACACCCATGAAACCACCACCACAATCAAGATAGCTGACATTTCCATCACTCCCCAAGAGGTGCAATTTTTGAATTCCCAATTTATCCTTTCCCACCCTCTTTACCTCCTGGTAACCATAAGTTTGTTCTCTATGTCTGTGTGTCTGTTTCTGTTTTGTAGATAAGTTCATTTGTGTCCTTTTTTAAATTCCACATATAAGTGATATCATATGGTATTTTTCTTTCTCTTTCTGGCTTACTTCACTTAGAATGACGATCTCCAGGTCCATCCATGTTGCTGCATATGGCGTTATTTTATTCTTTTTTATGGCAGAGTAGTATTCCATTGTGTATACATGTACACCACATCTTCTTTATCCAGTCATCTGTCAATGGACATCAACTGAATTTTTTGAAACTATATTATACTATCATTACTTCCATGAGCATCCTTACGCAAACATTTTGTGTTGTTCTCGAGTTATTTCCTTAGGAAACATTGCCATGACATGAGGCAGGACCCTAGATAGGGCTCTTCACACCTCGTTTTGAAATTCTCTCTTTCCCGGCCTCTGCTTGCACCCTCTCCTGATTCAACCTCCCTGCCCAACCCCCCATCTCTGTCCACTTCCCTCTTTACCTGTGTTTCCAAGGTCCCCTGTCTGGATCCTGCCAGCTCCTTGGAGTAAACACTGTCTGGAGCTGCCCCCTCTCTCTTACGATCTGTTATTTCCCTGTTGCCGCTGTAACAAATGACCACAAACTGGGTGGCTTAAAACAACAGAAATGTGCTCTTTCACAGAGGAGGTGAGACGTCGGAAATCAAGGCATTAGCAGGACCAGGCTCCCTCCAAAGGCTCCGGGCGAGAATCCTTTCTTGCCTTGTCTAGCATGTGATGGGCCCACGTGTTCCTGGACTGCTGTCTGCGTAACCCCAGCCTCTGCCTCCGTCTGCACGTGGCTTCTCCTCTAGACCTGTGTCTCCTCTTCTGTCTCTTAGAAGGACATTTGTGGTTGGATTTAAGGCCCACGTGGATAATCCAGGCTGATCTCATCTCAAGATCCTTAATTACATCTGCAAATACCAAATAAGGTCACATTCACAGGTCCCTGGGGCTAGGACGTGGACATACCTCTTTTGGGAGCCACCCTTCAATCCACTTCATGGCTTACAGGACCCCGTATGTGAGACAAATGAGAACATCAAATAAGCTTCTTTTTCTAATTTATGGTTAAGCCAGAGGGTCTAAGCTCCAACCCCAGAGAGACTCCGTCCACCCCTCTTTCACAAGGGAGTCTGGGGATCTCCTCTCTGGCTGGTGCGTGGGCGCAGGGGGATGGACAGACTGACCTGTTGCTCACCTGTCCCTTCCTGAGCCTCCCTGAGCAGTAGGCTTGCAGACCCCCTCTGCCACAAGCCCTGGGTGGCATGGTCAGGGGAGGCACGGCTGGGGTGCAGGTGGGCCCTGACCCCCAGCTGATGGTGTTTTTTCCAGGAACTTCACACCCATCTTCCACCCTGATTATGGCAACTGTTACATCTTCAACTGGGGCATGACTGAGAAGGCCCTCCTTTCGTCCAACCCTGGAGCTGAGTTTGGTAAGTCCTGGTTTGTCCTGGGGCCAGAGCGTGAGGCTGAAAGACCGAATTAACCATCAGCTGTCGAGGGGCAGGACCGAGGTCAGATGGAGGAGGCACGTGGAGGAGCAGCCGTGGGGCAGGGGGTAGATGGCTTCTCAGTCCCCTCACCCAACACTTGTGAATCCCTGGGGTAGTGACTGGTGTGCCCATTTTGCTGATGAGAAAAGTGAGGAAGCAGTCAGTGTAGTGGTTGGGAGTGCAGGCTTTTGTGACCGGGTGGAATCCCAGCTGGACTGTTTACGCCCCTGGTGAGCCTGAGCTGAGACTTAACTTCCCGAAGCCTTCGTTTTCCGCATGGTACAGAGCAGAGCGCAGAGTATACATGTGGTCGAACTATCGTGACCTAATGCAGGTAAACCTCTCAGCACAGGCTTGGCAAGGAGCATATGCTCAATATATGTGGATATTTGAAGTTTTAAATAACTTGCCCAAGATCACACAATCAGCCCAGGCAGAGCCCTTGTTCTCAGCCTCGTTTCTGTGCAATTCTCGAGCAAGACAGACAGAGGTTGAAGCAGTGATTGGAGGTGAGGAAGTGGGGAGGGGATGAGGGCAGAGGCTGCGTCTCAGGAGAAAGGCTGGTGGACTCAGCTCAGCTGTGACTCTGGGGCTGTGAGTGGGCACAGGGACAATGAGGGGAGCAAAGCCTTCCTCCCCTGTTAGATTCTGACCTCCCCAGCCACCAAGAGGCAGTGTCAAAAAAAAAAAAAAAAGAGGCATGTCATTCAGCAACTGTCGGAACTGCTGGTCAAGAGGGTCGCGTGTGGGCTGCTTGCCCTTCACCCGCCCCTGTGCCCTTGAAGACACTGTATCACAGAGGTGCCGGTCACCTCACTTTACAAGGGAAGATGATTAAGATCAAGGAGACTGGCTGCCTGTTTGGAAGTTCCTCAACTCCCACTTCCTCACTGGGTGGCCTCAGACAAGTCCCTTCACCTCTTTGTGCCTCTGTTTTCCTCATCTGTAAAGTGGGGACAATAATAGTACCTACCTCATATGCCTCTTGTGAGCACCAGTGAGATCGTGTAGATAAAGCCCTTAGCCCGGTACTTAGCATGCAGCAGGTGCTCGATAGATGCTCGCTGCCTTGTCCTAACCACCTGCCCAGTCCCATGGTGCATAAAACACTGAGTCTGGTCGCTGCTCTCAAGAAGGGAACAGTTGAATGGGGAAGGAAGACAGATAATAAAAGAAGAACCTCAAGAGGGAGGCAGGTACTTGGAAGGAACGTTCCAGGGCCAGGAGAACATACAACAAAGAACCTGAGACCCAGACTCGGTAGTGAGGGAGGGCTTCTGGAGGAAGTGACACGTGGGCTGAAATCTGAAGGAAGACCAGTAGTTTCTAGGTGAAAGGTGAGGGCGGAGACAGCACTCCACAGTGAAGGAACGGCATTTGCGAAAGGGAACAGCATTTGCAAAAGGGAACAGTATTTGCAAAGGCCCAACAGCAGGAAGGAGCATGGATGCTCAGGGGATTAAATGGAGAGAATGAGGACCCGTGTGGTTTGAGGAGGGGCCAGCTGTGCTGTGCCCCCAGATCTACCCACCACGTGGAAAAGAGATCATGGGGGCAGGGTCGGGGGTACAAGGAGCCCAGTGAGGAGACCGTGGTGGCTTGGGCTAGGATGGCGGCCTTAGAGGCAGCGAGAAATCTGGATTCTCATAAAGAGGAGCCAGCTTCCTGTGCAGACCCTGGAGGTCCCCTTGGCTGGAGGGGGCTTGGACAAGTGGGTGGTGGGTCTCCCTGCAGCCTGGGAGAGGGCACTCAGGCAGCCCTCGGCCTCCTGTTCCCCTCAGGCCTGAAGCTGATCCTGGACATGGGCCAGGAAGACTACGTACCCTTCCTCACGTCCACGGCCGGCACCCGGCTGATGCTGCACGAGCAGAGGTCGTACCCCTTCATCAAAGACGAGGGCATCTACGCCATGTCGGGGACGGAGACGTCCATCGGGGTGATGGTGGTACGGCCGCAGCCCAAGGGCAGCCTGCTCGCCCGGAGCCCACCTCCCATGGTCTGAGAGGAGGGGACCTGGGCCTCCCCCCAGCCCTGCGCCTCCTCACTGGCCACACCTGCCATGCCTTCTGGCTGGAACCCCACTCCAGCTGGCCATGCTCTGGGCTGCTGGGGCCTTGGCCTCCATCCACTCAGCATCCCCTAGACCCACAAGCTTGATGGGCGGGGGGACGGGGAGGCTTCAGGGGGTGACCAGGGCCCCCACAGACCACCTCTCACACAGGACAGGCTGCAGCGCAAGGGCGAGCCTTACAGCCAATGCACCGTGAACGGCTCCGATGTCCCCATCCGAAACCTCTACAGCTACTACAACACGACCTACTCCATCCAGGTGGGACGATGGTGCAGCCCCCCAACCCCGGGGCCCCGGCCACGTCTCCCTGGCCTGAAGCCTGAGGGTGCTGGGCAAGCTGGTGCCCATAGGGCGGGCTCTGGTGGATCTTCGTAACCACAGGGGCCTGGGGAGCCATTCTAGTCCTGGTTGTCACCAGGGCCCAGGGACCTCTTGCCCCACTTGGCAGGTGTGCCCTTGGGGGTGCCCAGAGTGCTAGAGATCTCACTCTGGAGTCTCCCAAGAAGAGCCCTGTGTGTGTTAAGGGTTAACATGGATTACACCATCATTTGGTCCTTTCAATTCTCCTACGAGGCAGTAAAATACTAACAATTAGTATATCATCAGTATAGTAACAATACTAATTATTAATTATTATTGTTAATGCTTATTAATAGCATTTATTATATATATTATTTATTATAAGAATTATTAACATACTAAATATATAA